AACAATTTACCATCTGTGATGTACTAGATGTCTTGCTTAAGATTGATGTAAAAAAAGAAATCAACTGGGGCTGATATGCTTGATCCATTGTTGCTGCAGCTCTCTGCCCCCCTGATTGCTGAATCATTAACCATATTTTTAACCTGTCGGTTATATCTGGTACCATCCCCAAGGTTTGGAAGGCGGCCCATGTACTCCCCCTTCTTATGCCTGCCCGTACCATTACCCATAGGGCACTCTGTTCACAACGTTGACATCAGCAAACCACTTGCCCACACGACACCATACACGTGGTCTGTGGTTGTGAGGCCGGTTGGACGTACTGCCAAATTCTCTAAAATGACGGAGGCTTATGGTAGAGAAATGAACATAAAATTATCTGGCAACAGCTCTGGTGGACATTCCTGCAGTCAGCATGCCAATTGCACACTCCCTCAAAACCTGTGGCATTGTGTTGTGACAAAACTGCACATTTGGCCTTTTGTCCCCAGCACAAGGTGCACCTGTGTAATGATCATGCTGTTTAATCAGCTTCTTGATATGCCGCACCTGTCAGGTGGATGGATTATCTGGGCAAAGGAGAAATGCTCACTAACAGGGATGGAAACCAACATTTTAGAGAAATAAGCTTTTAATGCGTATGGAACATTTCTGGGATCTTTTATTTCAGCTCATGAAACATGGTATAAACGCGTTAAAATTTTTGTTCAGTGTATAATATATATTAATATAGGACTCTCCACAACAGCACCATAGTAGCTCATTTTGACTCAATTTATTCAGCAATAATTCCCATGGCAACGGTACATCCAGCTTCAGTTCTTTGTGCGTTTCACTTGTTTAAAGATGAGGTCATGTAAATACACAACATTTCCTGTTTAGTGTGAAAATAATAACATGTCCCGGGGAAGAAGGGGATTGGCCGAGTGCTTAGTCAGGGGTGATGTCATAAATTAAGCCCCTCCCACTATGTAAATCAAGACTCCACCCATCCTAGATTAGCTGATCATAGAGCAGGGGTCTCCAACCTCTTCTAGCATGAGAGCTACTCAGCTAGCTTTCAAATAGGCCCATTCTCATCTCCCCAGCAGCTCTTCCCCGGGTCCTTAGTGGACAAGAGAAAGTAGTGCACTATGTTGTCAGCTCTTCCCCGGGTCCTTAGTGGACAAGAGAAAGTAGTGCACTATGTTGTCAGCTCTTCCCCGGGTCCTTAGTGGACAAGAGAAAGTAGTGCACTATGTTGTCAGCTCTTCCCCAGGTCCTTAGTGGACAAGAGAAAGTAGTGCACTATGTTGTCAGCTCTTCCCCGGGTCCTTAGTGGACAAGAGAAAGTAGTGCACTATGTTGTCAGCTCTTCCCCGGGTCCTTAGTGGACAAGAGAAAGTAGTGCACTATGTTGTCAGCTCTTCCCCGGGTCCTTAGTGGACAAGAGAAAGTAGTGCACTATGTTGTCAGCTCTTCCCCGGGTCCTTAGTGGACAAGAGAAAGTAGTGCACTATGTTGTCAGCTCTTCCCCGGGTCCTTAGTGGACAAGAGAAAGTAGTGCACTATGTTGTCAGCTCTTCCCCAGGTCCTTAGTGGACAAGAGAAAGTAGTGCACTATGTTGTCAGCTCTTCCCCAGGTCCTTAGTGGACAAGAGAAAGTAGTGCACTATGTTGTCAGCTCTTCCCCGGGTCCTTAGTGGACAAGAGAAAGTAGTGCACTATGTTGTCAGCTCTTCCCCGGGTCCTTAGTGGACAAGAGAAAGTAGTGCACTATGTTGTCAGCTCTTCCCCGGGTCCTTAGTGGACAAGAGAAAGTAGTGCACTATGTTGTCAGCTCTTCCCCGGGTCCTTAGTGGACAAGAGAAAGTAGTGCACTATGTTGTCAGCTCTTCCCCGGGTCCTTAGTGGACAAGAGAAAGTAGTGCACTATGTTGTCAGCTCTTCCCCAGGTCCTTAGTGGACAAGAGAAAGTAGTGCACTATGTTGTCAGCTCTTCCCCGGGTCCTTAGTGGACAAGAGAAAGTAGTGCACTATGTTGTCAGCTCTTCTCCGGGTCCTTAGTGGACAAGAGAAAGTAGTGCACTATGTTGTCAGCTCTTCCCCGGGTCCTTAGTGGACAAGAGAAAGTAGTGCACTGTGTGTTCTGTCAATAAACCTGGTCCAATAATGGTTCATAAACAGCTAAGGGGGGGGGGGCTATAAAATCCTGCTTTTAGATTATTATTATGTTTCACTCAATATTACAATTATTCAAAGAGAAACAACGAAATTACATGTTCTGGGTCGATGTCAATGCTTAAATCACATCAATTGTATGGGGGTCTGGAAGAAAACGAACATTTCAACTTTATAGTGTAATTCCCCTTTAATTGTGCATCTGGCCCTTTAATTGGGCATCTGGCCCTTTAATTGGGCATCTGGCCCTTTAATTGGGCATCTGGCCCTTTAATTGCTCGTCTAGCCAGTGAGGAATGGGCCATCTGATGTGCTGGTCTAGTGATGGTTCTGTACTGCTGCCGCTCAGTTCATGGCAAAGTTAGAAAATAACAAATGATATACTTCCTCATGACATACTTCTGCCAGGTAAGACTACTCTGCAGTTAACATTTAATTGAGAAGGTTCTGGGGAAAGTATTTCTGCCAACCCACAGGATGGTTATCACATCAACTGGCTACACAAGGAGTGACAGGCAAACGTCTGCACCACACAGACGGACTGGGGTAATGTTGCTAGAAATTAATTGGCAGATATTCTGTTAGGTTTGGCTTTTTAATCAATAATGTTTAATTCAATAGTGGCTAAACAGGGGTGGGATAATGTCAATGTTGCAGTGATTAGATAGTAGCTGAGAGCTTGCGGTACTTTCAGAATAGTTTGGCGAGCTACTCATAGGTTGGCTGGTAGCTAGTGGTAGATTGACCTGTTGGAGACCCCCATCATAGGGCATCACAAGGTAGATCAGCTGATCATAGAGCATGACAAGGTAGATCAGCTGATCATAGAGCATGATAAGGTAGATCAGCTGATCATAGAGCATGATAAGGTAGATCAGCTGATCATAGAGCATCACAAGGTAGATCAGCTGATCATAGAGCATCACAAGGTAGATCAGCTGATCATAGAGCATCACAAGGTAGATCAGCTGATCATAGAGCATCACAAGGTAGATCAGCTGATCATAGAGCATGATAAGGTAGATCAGCTTATCATAGAGCATCACAAGGTAGATCAGCTGATCATAGAGCATCACAAGGTAGATCAGCTGATCATAGAGCATCACAAGGTAGATCAGCTGATCATTATAAGGTACGTATAGATCAGCTGATCATTAGAAGGTACGTATAGATCAGCTGTTCTCAGCAGCACGGCTAGTTGTCATCCTTCCTCTGTAATCAGGGACTGATTCAGACCTGATACAGGTGACTGAACTCTCTGGCCAATCAGTGACATTCATCAATTAATCAATTACCTACCATGGAGAGAAGACAACCAGCAGAGCTGTAGAGCTCCTGTCATTGTATTTACATACACAACACCCACTGGTTCTACATAGCAGGCTGATCAGAGGGGTTGGGCTAGGTGTGTGTCTATACTGGTTCTACATAGCAGGCTGATCAGAGGGCTGGTGTGTGTCTATACTGGTTCTACATAGCAGGCTGATCAGAGGGCTGGTGTGTGTCTATACTGGTTCTACATAGCAGGCTGATCAGAGGGCTGGTGTGGTGTCTATACTGGTTCTACATAGCAGGCTGATCAGAGGGCTGGTGTGTGTCTATACTGGTTCTACATAGCAGGCTGATCAGAGGGCTGGTGTGGTGTCTATACTGGTTCTACATAGCAGGCTGATCAGAGGGGCTGGTGTGTGTCTATACTGGTTCTACATAGCAGGCTGATCAGAGGGGTGGTGGTGTGTCTATACTGGTTCTACATAGCAGGCTGATCAGAGGGCTGGTGTGGTCTATACTGGTTCTACATAGCAGGCTGATCGAGGGCTGGTGTGTGTCTATACTGGTTCTACATAGCAGGCTGATCAGAGGGTTGGGCTGTGTGTGTCTATACTGGTTCTACATAGCAGGCTGATCAGAGGGCTGGTGTGTGTCTATACTGGTTCTACATAGCAGGCTGATCAGAGGGCTAGTGTGTGTCTATACTGGTTCTACATAGCAGGCTGATCATAGGGCTGGTGTGTGTCTATACTGGTTCTACATAGCAGGCTGATCAGAGGGCTGGTGTGTTGTCTATACTGGTTCTACATAGCAGGCTGATCAGAGGGCTGGTGTGTGTCTATACTGGTTCTACATAGCAGGCTGATCAGAGGGCTGGTGTGTGTCTATACTGGTTCTACATAGCAGGCTGATCAGAGGGCTGGTGTGTGGTCTATACTGGTTCTACATAGCAGGCTGATCAGAGGGCTGGTGTGTGTCTATACTGGTTCTACATAGCAGGCTGATCAGAGGGGTTGGGCTGGTGTGTGTCTATACTGGTTCTACATAGCAGGCTGATCAGAGGGCTGGTGTGTGTCTATACTGGTTCTACATAGCAGGCTGATCAGAGGGCTAGTGTGTGTCTATACTGGTTCTACATAGCAGGCTGATCAGAGGGCTGGTGTGTGTCTATACTGGTTCTACATAGCAGGCTGATCAGAGGGCTGGTGTGTGTCTTCAGGTCTCTCTCTTTGCTAACGTGCGCTTAGCGCCATTCTCCATCTTCTTTTGGCTTTAAACATAATCTCCTCCCAACTGTAACAGTTCCCTTTATAAACAACATGTTATAGTGACATCACAGCCTCTGGGGTTAACTGTAACTACGGCAATAAATACAGTATGGGGGGGGGGGGAGGGACAAGTGTCTTATACTCTGAGGGGAGTGAGTCCTGCCTCACCCCTTTAAGGGGGAGTGGAAGTGTCCTTGTGGTGGGCCAGCCAATCACAGAAACATGATGAAAGGTTTCCTCCAATCAGCTTGGCGACGGCTCTAGCCAACCACAGTGTGGCCTGGTGAGGGTGTTATCCAATCAGAGCAGCATGGTGACAGGCTTCTCCAGGAACTTCCTGAACTCTGCGAGCCACTGAGCTCCGACCGCTCCGTCCACCACGCGATGGTCACAACTCAACGTCACCGACATCATGCTGGCCACGTCAAACCTACACACACACACACACACACACACACACAGTAAATTACAGAACAAAGTAGAATCAACCTATAGTAGTAGTATAGTATAGTATAGTGTAGTTATAGTATTATAGTGTAGTTATAGTAGTAGTATAATAGTCTGTAGTTATAGTAGTAGTATAGTCTAGTATAGTGGTTAGTTTGTCGTAGTATAGTTAGTGCATTTCTCGTAGTAGTCAGATTCGTGTGTCGTTATATTCGTCGTACTAGTTAGTGTCGTTTATCAGTAGTATAGTCATCGTGTCAGTTCTAGTAGTAGTATAGTATACGTGCAGTTATAGTAGTCAGTATAGTCTCGTGTCGTTTCTTAGTAGTATGTATAGTGGGCCGTTCTAGTGTAGTCTAGTTATAGTGTAGTTATTTAGTAGTATAGTCTAGTGTGTTATAGTAGTCTACTAGTATCGTGTAGTTATAGTAGTAGTATAGTATAGTGCGTTATAGTAGTAGTATAGTATAGTGTAGTTTTTATTCGTAGTATAGTACGTGTCGTTTATTCGATTATCGTATAGTCTAGTTCGTCTCGTAGTAGTATACTGTGTTATAGTATCGTTATCGTAGTCATCTAGTCTCGTGTTCGTTATCGTCGTTCGTCTATTATGTCCAGTTATATTAGTGTATCGTATCGTGTAGTTATAGTAGTGTTCGTCTAGTGTAGTTAGTAGTCGTATCGTCTGTGGTCGTCTCGTTAGTTATAGTCGTGTATCGTATAGTGGTAGTGTATTTACCCTTTCTCATTGTCAGCAGGCAGCCGTCTCTTCTCTGAGCCTCCTACTGCCAGTATACAGGCCTGGGGAGGGTTGATGATCGCTGAGAAGTTCTTGACGCCAAACATTCCCAGGTTAGAGATGGTAAACGTGCCTCCCTGAAACACACAGAGGATTCAACTCCTGGAACCTGTGGGACCAACTAATGTTGCAGAAGTGTTTAACACATTTGTGTGTGTGTGTGTGTGTGTAATCATTGTGTGTTTTAGTGTGTAGTCGGTAGTTACCTGGAACTCGTGTGGCTGTAGTTTCCCGTCGCGGGCCTTGGCAGCCAGGGCTGTGACATCAGAGCTGATAGCAGCCAGTCCTTTGGTGTGGGCGTTGAACACGATGGGAGTTATCAGACCATTGGCTGTACTCACCGCCACACTCACATCCACCACATGGTTCCTACACACCAACACACACACACACACACACACACACACACACCACCACACACACACACACAGAGACACACACACACACAGAGACACACACACACACAGAGACACACACACACACACACACACACACACACACACACACACCACATTAAACCTGACATATTCAAAAATATGTGTTTTGGTGTGTGTTGTGTTTTTGTGGTGGTGTGTGGTTTTGGGTGGTGTGTGTGTTTTTGGGTGGTGTGTTGTGTTTTTGGGTGGTGTTGTGTTTTTGGGTGGTGTGTGTGTTTTGGGTGGTGTTGTGTTTTTGGGTGGTGTGGTGTGTTTTGGGTGGTGTGTGTGTTTTGGGTGGTGTGTGTGTTTTGGGTTGTGGTGTGTGGGTGGTGTGTTTTGGGTGGTGTGTGTGTTTTTGGGTGGTGTGTGTGTTTTGGGTGGTGTGTGTGTTTTTGGGTGGTGTGTGTGTTTTGGGTGGTGTGTGTGTTTTTGGTGGTGTGTGTGTTTTGGGTGGTGTGTGTGTTTTGGGTGGTGTGTGTTTTTTGGGTGGTGTGTGTGTTTTGGGTGGTGTGTGTTTTTGGGTGGTGTGTGTGTTTTGGGTGGTGTGTGTTTTTGGGGGTGTGTGTGTTGTTTTTGGGTGGTGTGTGTGTTTTGGGTGTGTGTGTGTTTTGGGTGGTTGTTGTGTGTGTTTGGGTGGTGTGTCTGTTTTTGGGTGTGTGTGTGTTTTTTGGGTGGTGTGTGGTGTTTTGGGTGGTGTGTGTTGTTTGTGGTGGTGTGTGTCCAGCGCTTTCAGCCAAGTCTTCCCCCCCTTCCACCTTTTCCCATTTCTTTTTGTGTTACACACCAGAGCGGTGTGGAGCGGAGTGGAGCGGAGCGGTGAGAATCATATGCTCTGGTTACAACCCACATTTAAACTTGATTAAATGTAGATGTTGTGTCAACACCCCATAATGTCACAGTGGATGTTATGTTTGGAGAACAAGCTGAAATGTCTTGAGTCATTCAACGTATTCAACTTAATGGCCTAAATAAGTTCAGGAGTAAATGTCCTTAACAAACCACATAAGCTGCATGGACTCATTCTGTGTTCAATAATTATGGTTAACGTGACTTTTGATTAACTACTCCATCTCTGTACCCCACACAAACAGAGCATTGGGAAAGTATTCAGAACCATTGACTTTTTCCACATTTTGTTACAGTCTTATTCTAAAATGGATCACATAGGTTTTTTTTGCTCATCAAACTACACACAATACCCCATGTTTATGGTAGAGTGATTGATGGATATGATATACTGACTTGGGGGGAAAAGGGAATAACATCAGAGAAGAGAGCGCCCACTGACGGTTAACAGATGTGGTTGAAGAAACGTGTAACAGAGGGTATATAAGTGAGATATGTTCTTTGTTCAGTAGTTCAGAATAGCAAGAGGCAGAGCCCTGTCTGTCTGTTATATCGAACCAGAGCCCTGTCCTTCTGTTATATCGAACCAGAGCCCTGTCCTTCTGTTATATCGAACCAGAGCCCTGTCCTTCTGTTATATCGAACCAGAGCCCTGTCCTTCTGTTATATCGAACCATGGTACCTATTAAATATTAAATTAACTCCCCAGCTAAGTGTTATATATCTTATTGCATCATGAATTACTTGATACTTGAGAAACTCATCATAACACACCCCATTGAAACCCTACATGCAGAGTTCTGGTAGATTCTCCTTCATGTCCAGCGGAAAACCACAAACAATGCATGCAGGGCAGAATTAGGCCAATATCCACTAATAATAAAAACTCAAAGAATAGCAAATTAAGTTTTGGAAACATCTAAAATCCAGTGACCCCCTCTCATATCATTACCAAGCCCTGCAATGCCAAGAGCTGAGCAGAGAAAAGAGTCCCCTCATCCAGCTGGTCCTGGGGCTGAGTTCACAAACCTGTTCTATTAACATACTGAAGCCTCAGGACCAGAACATCCAATCAATCAGAATAAACCAAATTACAACACAGTCAAAACAAAACTCCATTACCTATTGGGAAACACAAGCACAAAGTAAAATGTAGTGCTATCTGGCCCTAGAGAGAGAGAGAGAGTGAAAGGAAACAGAGGATAGAGAGAGAGAGAGAGAGAGAGAGAGGAGAGAGAAGAGGAAGAGAGAGAAGAACAAGAGAGAGATAGAGAGAGAGAGACGAGAGAGAAGAGAGAGAGAATGAACAGCAGAGAAGAGAGAGACCAGCGAGAGAGAAGGAAACAAGAAGCAGAGAAGAGAGAGAGACAAGAGAGAGAGACAGAGAGACAGAGAACCGAGACCAGAGAGAGAGATAAGGAACAGCAAGAGATAGAGAAGAGAAGACAAGAGAGACAAACATGAACAAATAGAGAGAAGAGATAGAGATGAGATAGATAAGAGAGCGATAAGAGAGCAACTATGATTAGGAGAGACAAGATATAGATATACATGAGAGAGATAGAACAAGAGAGAGAAGATACAGAGAAGAGAGTAGATAAGCAAACAGTAGATACAGAGACAAGACAGAGAGAAAGACAGAGACTATGAGAGAGATACGAGAGAGAGAGAGAGAGATAGGCATAAAGAGAGAGAGAGAGAGGCAGAGTATGTACTTACTGTCGATGACAGAGTCGAGCCATTGGAGTTTGGCTTCCTGGACCTTGAGGCAGCCCAGAGCGCTGGCTTTAATGATGAAATCATTCACACTCAGCTTGATGTTCTGGCCTTTACCTCCTATGAAGGAGAGTAGAGTAGAGTATACTTTGGTAATCCCAATTTGGGAAATTGTTTTATTTGACACTGGAGAGGCGGGAGAATTGGTCTCGTTGTAATCAATGAAAGCAGCTACATTCCTGGTGTTGCATCACAGGGTTTTATTATTACTAAGGAGTCTGAGTCCTCTCCACTAAGGAGTCTGAGTCCTCTCCACTAAGGAGTCTGAGTCCTCTCCACTAGGAGTCGATCCCTCACTGAGTCCTCCCTAGATCCTCTCCCTAAGCCCCGTCCTCTCCCACTAAGGATGTCCTCTCCACTAAGAGTCTGACCTCTCCACAAGGTCTGGTCTCTCCACTAAGGAGTCTGAGTCCTCTCCACTAGAGTCTGAGTCCTCTCCACAAGGGTCGAGCCCTCCACTAGAAACACAATAACAATATCACATAGGGAACAACAATAACAATATCACCAGGACATACACACATTAAAATGTTTAACATCCTGGTGAAGAGATCTTTGAGATATTTAGTTAACTGGTGTGTGCTAGTGCTGAGCGACTGGTTGCTTTTGGGGTACCGGTTCAGTTCGAAATCACAATTATTTTTAAAACATTAAATGTATTATGACAAAGATTTTTGTGCATTTGAATGAAAATTCCAAAGCCAATATTTCAGTTGTGTATATTACGTAGTCTTTATTTGATTACTTTATTATAGTTAATTCCTTAAAGTCATCATTTCAGCTCTGCTCAGGCAGTAGCAGTCAAACAACTATCTAACGTTATCTCTGTTCTCCCCATACTGTCCTGTCTTCAGTCCTCCTGTTTAGCTAGCCTGCCTAAGTATGCTGCAGAGCTGTCTGCCCAAATCATTTGACTAGTCTTCTTCAAAGTAGATAAGGCATACTGACACAAACTCCATCCCTCTGAATAGCTGTGTAGGCTACATTCCTCCGTCATGTGGTCTGTGTGCATCTAACCTAACATAGCAGGCGTAGTGGTACGTAATGGTATAAAAAGTGTATCCATCTCTGTCCAAGTGGAACAGGCGCAATGGATTATGGTCATTGTAGTTAATTAACATGTTTCTGCGCTGAACTAGGTTGAATATCTGCTTAATGAAAACTACAGCCCTTCGGCCCAGCATCCCACATAGTTCTTGACTTCATTTCTCTAGTGAATTATTTGATTTCTCTCTAGAGAAACGGCACGTTGGGCTCACAAAAAATGTAAATGGAATTCAAGTAATTGAACCGACATCGGTTAATCACTCAGGACTAGTGTGTGTGAGAGCGTTACCCTGCGGATGTTGCTGATAGGGACGTCGGTGAAGGTGCCTGTTGGCGTGGCAACAGCCGGGGCAGGTGTAGGGGCGGGGCCAGCCGTGGAAGGTGGAGCTGCAGCAACAGGAGCCTACACACCATCAGAAAACCAATCCAGTCTTGACTGAACATTGCATCAGAAAACCAATCCAGTCTTGACTGAACACTGCATCAGAAAACCAATCCAGTCTTGACTGAACACTGCATCAGAAAACCAATCCAGTCTTGACTGAACATTGCATCAGAAAACCAATCCAGTCTTGACTGAACATTGCATCAGAAAACCAATCCAGTCTTGACTGAACATTGCATCAGAAAACCAATCCAGTCTTGACTGGAACACTGGCATCGAAACCAATCCAAGTCTTGACGACACTGCATCAGAAAAACCAATCCAGTCTTGACTGAACATTTGCACCGAAAACCAATCCGTCTTGATTGAAAACTTTGCATCAGAAAAACCAATCCAGTCTTGACTGAACATTGCCAATCAGAAACCAAATCCACAGTCTTGGACTGAAACATTGCATCAGAAAACCAATCCAGTCTTGACTGAACATTGCATCAGATTTGTGTCGACAGAAAAGGTTTTATACTAAATATGAATCACTGGTATGTAGAAAAAACAAAACACATTAAAAAACAAACGCAGTAAAGTGTGTGAGTGAGTGAGTGAGTGAGAGTGTGTGTGTGAGTGAGAGTGAGTGAGTGAGAGTGAGTGAGTGAGAGAGTGTGATAGAGTGAGTGCGTGGTGAGTGAGTGAGTGAGTGCGTGAGTGAGTGAGGGAGGAGGAGTGTGTGTGTGAGTGAAGGAGAGTGGAGAGGAGTGAGAGAGTGAGTGAGTGAGTGAGTGAGTGAGAGTGAGTGAGTGAGTGAGTGAGTGAGTGAGAGTGTGTGAGTGAGTGAGTGAGAGTGAGTGAGTGAGTGAGTGTGAGTGAGAGAGTGAGTGAGAGAGTGAGTGAGAGTGTGTGAGTGATAGAGTGAGTGAGAGTGTGTGGTGACTTACGGTAGGAGCAGCCTTGGGGGGGACGAAGGTCTCAATGTCTTTCTTGGTGACTCTGCCATCAGGACCGGAGCCTGTAATGTACACACACACACAAACAGAACATGCATCAGAGAGAGGAAGGTGTGTGTGTGTGTGTGTGTGTGTGTGTGTGTGTGTGTGTGTGTGTGTGTGTGTGTGTGTGTGTGTGTGTGTGTGTGTGTGTGTACACTCACCGTTGACCTGGGCCAGGTCAATGCCCTTCTCGGCAGCGAGCTTCTTGGCGAGCGGGCTGGCGAAGACACGCCCTTTCCTTGGGGTTACCGGGGCAACGGGGGCTGGACTAGAGCCGGCTGGTGCAGGAGGAGGGGCTACAGTCTAGAAGAACACACAGTGTTGTTATTCTTAGTCTGTCAGAGAACCATCTGGAAAATGTTCATTAGCAAGATCTCTAACACGCTAGCTAAAAAGTTTATACCAAAGATTAACAACGCTAGCTAAAGCTATATACAAGATCTCTAACAACGTAGCAACAAGTTTATAATACAAGATCTCTAACAACGCTAGCTAACAAGTTATAATACAAGATCCTAACAACGCTAGCTAACAGTTTATTTCATACAAGGATCTCTAACAACGTAGCTGAACAAGTTATAATACAAGATCTCTAACAACGCTAGCTAACAAGTTATAATACAAAGATCTCTAACAACGCTAGCTAAACAAGTTATAATACAAGATCTCAAAACGCTTAGCTAACAAGTTATAATACAAGATCTCTAACAACGCTATCTAAAAAGTTATTTATAATACAAGTTCTTAACAACGCTAGCTACAAGTTATAATACAAGATCTCAAACGCTATCTAACAAGTTATAATACAAGATCTAACAACGCTATCTAACAAGTTATAATACAAGATCTCTAACAACAGAGATATAACAAGTTATAATACAAGATCTCTAACACGTATCTAAAAGGTATAATACAAGATCTCTAACAACGCTAGCTAAAAGTTATAACAAGATCTCTAACAAAGCTACTAACAAGTTTATAATAAAGATCTCTAACAAGTTAGTTTAAACAAGTTATATACAAACGATCTCTAACAACGCTAGCTAAACAAGTTATAATACAAGATCTCTAACAACGCTATCTAACAAGTTATAATACAAGATCTCTAACAACGCTAGCTAACAAGTTATAATACAAGATCTCTAACAACGCTATCTAACAAGTTATAATACAAGATCTCTAACAACGCTATCTATAACAAGTTATAATACAAGATCTCTAACAACGCTAGCTAACAAGTTATAATACAAGATCTCTAACAACGCTATCTAACAAGTTATAATACAAGATCTCTAACAACGCTATCTAACAAGTTATAATACAAGACATCAGAATATTGGTGTGTCAAATCAATTTAAAAAAATGTCACATGCTTCGTAAACAACAGGTACAGAATAACAGTGAAATGCTTAATTACAACGCTTCCCAACAATACAGAGAAAATAATAACACAATAAATACACAATGAGGAGAGCTGGGAGAGCTGGACAAACGTCCATATGGAGTAGAGCTGGGAGATATGGACAAACGTCCATATGGAGTAGAGCTGGGAGATATGGACAAACGTCCATATGGAGTAGAGCTGGGAGATATGGACAAACGTCCATATGGAGTAGAGCTGGGAGATATGGACAAACGTCCATTACGAGTAGAGCTGGGAGATATGGACAAACGTCCATATGGAGTAGAGCTGGGAGATATGGACAAACGTCCATTACGAGTAGAGCTGGGAGATATGGACAAACGTCCATATGGAGTAGAGCTGGGAGATATGGACAAACGTCCATATGGAGTAGAGCTGGGAGATATGGACAAACGTCCATATGGAGTAGAGCTGGGAGATATGGACAAACGTCCATTACGAGTAGAGCTGGGAGATATGGACAAACGTCCATATGGAGTAGAGCTGGGAGATATGGACAAACGTCCATTACGAGTAGAGCTGGGAGATATGGACAAACGTCCATTACGAGTAGAGCTGGGAGATATGGACAAACGTCCATTACGAGTAGAGCTGGGAGATATGGACAAACGTCCATATTGCAATAAATTGCCTGAATTGATGTGATAACAACAAATTGAACAATAAGTTTATAACATTAATCAAATCAAATGTAAAGCGCTGCTCTGCATTCTTAACAGCACTATCAACAAGGCAGGTCCTACAGGCCCTAGTTTTATCACACGTGGACTACTGTTCAGTCGTGTGGTCAGGTGCCACAAAGAAGGACATAGGAAAATTGCAGTTGTCTCAGAACAGGGCAGCACGGCTGGCCCTTAAATGTACACAGAGAGCTAACATTAATAATATGCATGTCAGTCTCTCCTGGCTCAAAGTGGAGGAGAGATTGACTTCATCACTACTTGTATTTGTAAGAGGTGTTGACAAGCTGAATGCACCGAGCTGTCTGTTTAAACTACTAGCACACAGCTCAGACACCCATGCATACCCCACAAGACATGCCACCAGAGGTTCTTCACAGTCCCCAAGTCCAGAACAGACTTATGGGAGGCGCACAGTACTACATAGAGCCATGACTACATGGGAAACTCTATTTCCACATCAGGTAATGATGCAAGCCAGTAGAATCAGATTTAAAAAACAGGTGAAAATACACCTTATGGAACAGCGGGGACTGTGAAGAGACACACACATAGACAAAGACACACGATAACATACGCACTATACACACACGTACACATGGATTTTGCTGGGATGGGGATCCATAATATGGATGGGGATCCATAATAAATACAAATACAAATACAAATACGAGGTAATAACTTGGTTATATACACGGGGTAGCAGTACTGAGTCGATGTGCAGGGGAAAAGGTAATACACTAGATTTACAAAAGTATGTGGACACCCCTTCAAATTAGTGGATTCGGCTATTTCAGCCACACCTGTTGCTGACAGGTATAGAAAATCGAGCACACAGCCATGCAATCTCCATAGACAAACACTGGCAGTAGAATGGCCTTACTGAAGAGCTCAGTGACTTTCAACATGGCACCGTCATAGGATGCCACCTTTCCAACAAGTCAGTTCATCAAATTTCTGCCCTGCTAGAGCTGCCCCGGTCAACTGTAAGCGCTGTTATTGTGAAGTGGAAACGTCTAGGAGCAACAACGGCTCAGCAGCGAAGTGGTAGGCCACACAAGCTCACAGTACGGGACCGCCGATGATTGCTGAAGCGCGTAAAGGTTGTCTGGTCCTCGGTTGCAACACTCACTACCAGAGTTCCGAACTGCCTCTGGAAGCAACAGCAGCACAATAACTGTTCGTCAGGAGCTTCATGAAATGGGTTTCCATGGCCAAGCAGCCGCACAAGCCTAAGATCACCATATGCAATGCCAAGTGTCGGCTGGAGTGATGTAAAGCTCGCTGCCATTGGACTCTGGAGCAGTGGAAACGCGTTCTCTGGAGTGATGAATCACGCTTCACTATCTGGCAGTCCAACGGTGCCTGCCCGAATGCCAGTTGCCATACCAGGCGGTGATGCAGCCAGTCAGGATGCTCTCAATGGTGCAGCTGTAGAACGTTTTGAGGATCTGAGGGCGTTACCACCTGAGGGCGGCCCGCCAGGAAGTCCAGGATCCAGTTGCAGAGGGAGGTGTTTAGTCCCAGGGTCCTTAGCTTAGTGATGAGCTTGAGGGCACTATGGTGTTGAACGCTGAGCTGTAGTCAATGAACAGCATTCTCACATAGGTGTTCCTCTTGCCCAGGTGGGAAAGGGCAGTGTGGAGTGCCATTGAGATTGCGTCTTCTGTGGATCTGTTGTGGCGGTATGCAAATTGGAGTGGGTTACTGGGATAATGGTGTTGATGTGAGCCATGACCAGCCTTTCAAAGTACTTCATGGCTACAGATGTGAGTGCTATGGGTCGGTAGTCATTTAGGCAGGTTAACGTGGTGTTCTTGGGCACAGGGACTTTGGCGGTCTGCATGTAGGGTCGTCTGCTCCTCCCTTCATCTTACCCAAAGCTGCCGTCTGGTCCAGACGATGGAAAAACTAACGAGATGTATGTTATCCACGTCCTCGTTCAGCCACGACTCCCAGAAACATAGAATGTTCCAGTTCTTCAGGTCCCGTTGATAGGATAGTTGATGGTCCCGTTGATTATCTGTTCACCAACGTAGTCTCGTCAGGATGCCGCCTCGCCTGCCTCTCACTCTCTTCCACTGCTGACTCCATGTAGAAATTGTTAGTGATCACTGTTCTGATGTCCAGAAGCAGTTTTCAGTCATAGGAAACGCTGGCGGAGACATTATGTACCCAAAGAGTTAAGATCAAGGTTAAAGAAAACACACAATAGAGAATCAGGAACCCGTAAAAGGCCTGTGTGTTACCGGTGCTGTGTGTGTGTTACCGGTGCTGTGTGTGTGTTACCGGTGCTGTGTTGTGTGATGTTACCGCGGTCTGTGTGTGTGTGGTACGGTGATGTGCTGTGTGTTACGGTGCTGTGTGTGTGTGTGTTAAGGTGCTGTGTGTGGGTACCGGTGCTGTGTGGTGTGTTGTTACCGTGCTGTGTGTGTGTGTGTGTTACCTGTGTGCTGTGTTGTGTGTTTTAACGGTGCTGTGTGTGTGTTACCGGTGATTGTGTGTGTGTGTTACCGGTGCTGTGTGTGTGTGTGTTACGGTGCTGTGTGTGAGTGTGTTACGGTGCTGTGTGTGTGTGGTTAACGGTTGCTGTGTGTGTGGTGTTTACCGTGTGATGTGTGTGTGTTACGGTTGTGCTGGGTGTGTGTGTACCGGTGCTTGTGTGTGTGTGTTACGGTTGCTGTGTGTTGTTACCGGTGACTGTGTGTGTGTTACCGGTGCTGTGTGGTGTGTTTACCGGGGGCTGTGTGTGTGTGGTACCGGTGCTGTGGGTGTGTGTGTTACGGTGTGTGGTGTGTGTGTGTGTTACCGGTGATGTCGTGTGTGTGTGTTACCGGTGCTGCGTTGTGTGTTACCGGTGATGTTGTTGGGTGTTACCGGTGCTGTGTGTGTTTACGGTGCTGTGTGTGTGTTTTACCGTGGCTGTCGTGTGTGTGTTACGGTGTTTGTGTGTGTGTGTGTTAAAGGTGCTGTGTGGGTGTGTGTTACCGGTGATGGTGTGTTTGTGTGTGTTTACCGGTGCTGGTGTGTGTTCCGGTGCTGTGTGTGTGTGTGTTACCGGTGCTGTGTGTGTGTGTGTTACCGGTGCTGTGTGTGTGTTACCGGTGCTGTGTGTGTGTGTTACCGGTGCTGTGTGTGTGTGTTACCGGTGCTGTGTGTGTGTGTGTTACCGGTGCTGTGTGTGTGTTACCGGTGCTGTG